TAATTTATTTTTATACTAAAAATCTTTCATTTGCACAACACATTTATTTAAATTTAATTTTAATTAAAATTAATTTATATATAAAATCAATTTCATTCAAAATTAATTTTGCAAGAATCATCCATATTCGAATAGAAACTACTTCTTGTATCATGGTATTATTTGTTATTGAGTGATATTGAAGTCAGTTCTCTTAAATAAAATTTCGAGTTTGAATTTTTTTTCAAATAAAAAATGTAACTAAAAAATCACTCGTGGCAGTACTTTTGTCTTATAAAGATTCCACTAAGTGGTAAGATTTTGTTCGGTTTAATCTTTTACGGAATTAGTTCCGGAATAGTTAGTAAGTACCGTGATTCAGAGACACAACTAAGGTTTATGACATTTTATGAAGATGAAATGGTTTCATTTCTGTGTCCTCCTTTTACTTCTATTATTTTTACTCACTATATTACAAGCCCCAAAAATTAGTTCATCACATGCTGCTAATGAAGATTAATGTAAGCACACATATTCATTACGTTTAACGCTTCAAAATCAATTTACTCAACTTTCAGTCATGACTCATCTGGTTAGAAGTGCAACCTTCATCTGAAAATAGTTTTCTGAAAATACTGATATATAGTCACTACCCTGATGAGGTTTAAAATGTTAAACTTCATCACATGTATGTAGTCTGCAACTCCATAACTGTATATATCAAAAAGATAATATTACATTAACCCATCAAAAAAGGCAAAACTACACCTGGATCAGTTAAGTTAGCCTTGTTATTACATAGCTAGTGCCATAACTCTATACTAATATATAATACCATGCATGGATATATAGTTTCCTCATTACATACATACATACATATATATATATATATATATATATATATATATATATATATATATATATATTATACCTATATAATCGCATCATTACATACATACATATATAACCAAAACATATTTATTAGAGCCTGCATATATGTGTGGGTGATGAGTAGGGGGTCAAGATCAATCATATAATATATTCTTGATCAAACCCAAAGAGCTCCTGCTTTCTTGAGCATTGGAATCAAGGAGCGATTAAGGTGAAGACTCATCACTTCATTGGCTCCACCCACAAGCTCACCACCGATGAACACAACAGGCACAGAAGGACTACAACCTAGCCTTGAAAGAGCTTGTTCAATGTCTCTGCCTCTAGGAATCTCATCAAGCTCATGAACCAATGGATTCACCCCAAAGTCACAGAAGAGAGTCTTGATGGTGTGGCTCATGCAGCAAGAGCTCTTGCTGAAGATCACCACTGGCCTCTCTGATACCATCTTTGTCACCCTATCCATTGTGCTGCCACAAAACCAATTGATCCTTGTGCAACAATACCAAATTGGTTGAATGAATGCAGAAAGGAAAGTTTGGTGAATGAGCTAGAACATAAACAAGAAGCAAAGATCTAGCTAGGGAGGTAAGTGAGGAATCAATGTGGTATTAAGGTTTTGGTTTGAGGTGTGCTTGATGAGATTGAGCCAAATGTGACATGCTTATATAGGGGTTTGAAGCCTTTGTTGGGTGCTGTGGTGGATTGGCATCGCTAAGCAAAGAAAAAGATAGGGTGGCCATGGAGAAAAGTGGAGAATCATAGATGAGATATTTGGGTCGGTTTCGAAATTTTCTTTGATCATTTGTTGAAAGTGATTGATCAAACTCTTCCTTTTACTACGAACGAATCTCTCTTTCTCTCTATCCATGCATGCACACGGAAAAACAAAGGCGAGTCCTTGTTATGGCTTCAAAAAAGAAAAATTATGCTTATATCCCTTCATTCATAATTGTGTTTGCATGTTCATGTACACTGTTAATTACTTGATTCTGGAGACATAATCAACAGTTTTCGTGTTTTGATTTTACACGATTGCATATATACGTACGACTCCTGCTTGGGAATGAGGAATGGTATATATTACTACATAGATTGATTAATTAATTAATTAAGCTATTTGATTGATTAAATTAATCTCCCAATCATGGTAAAAATAATTATAAGATTAATTAATTAAGAGGGTGTATTTTTTCAAGAACGTAGTATGGAAGATCTGCATTTGGTGGATCTCACTATACGATGACATCAATAATATATACAAGATACATTTAAAATTTTGTTGCTAATGCTGAAGTTTCTGCCTTATCTATCTTTGAGGCATCTTCTGCGTTGGAAGAAAAGTTGAATTTATCCAATTGGGACCTCTTTTGTTGCTTCTTAGATTCGCATCCAATTCTAGAAAGGGAAATATCATTGAGCCTGTTTTGAAGTTAATCGAAAATAATTCTTTGTGACATAATATTTCATGAACACTTGTTCTCTTCTCATGTGTCATTTTATTTTAGTACTAAATCTTACTTTCACCATAATTTTTTATGATCATTTTACTGGTTATATTTTTTTTCTTGGCATCAACCATTAAAATTGCTTTCTTACAAGAATGTTTATACAGTGATTTTCAAAGCCTCTGATCGTTTTGGATTAATACTACGAATGCCCACTTTTTCGAGCAAGTAAAAATATTCAAATTTATCGTGAGAACTAGATATGATAATAGTAAATTTTCCTTTTTAATCGAATCGAATATTTATAAATTCAACTACAAGACCATGGAGACAAAGAGATCATTCAAGGATTGAGTTTCTGGATCATTTATTTATATCAATTATATATATAGCTTCAAAATTACTTTTGTTTCAGCAAAAAAAATATCATAGTGATTTATGTCGTTTTGTCAACTATGATTTTCAATCATTATAATTAGTTCTTTGGTAAGTAGAATTTCAAATTCATGATTTAAATTTTTTTTTTACTAGTGAAATTAAGTGTGGGATATATAATTTGACAAAAAAAGCATTTTCATTTTTTCAAAAAAGTACTTTACATTTAAACAAATTTATTCCTGTAAACTGACATAAAAAAAACATAGTTTTTAAACCATTTATTATTTTAGCATCAAATTTTCAAAAATAATTTAATCAAAATATAAATCAAATGGAACTTAAATGAAAGATATATGACATTTAATTCTTAGTCTTTCTAGCACCTTCTTGTCCCATATGTTATAAAAGCTAATTAATATTATGAGAGTTTAATTTTGTTGATTAAAGTCTTTAAAAATAACTTAATTAAATTTGTTTATACGAGTTATTTTAATTTTTTAACTAAATCATAAGTTCTTAATTTTAATATATTACTCTTGGATCAAGAAAATCATAATTTTTTTGTTGAGATTCGTATTAATAAAAAAATGAACATTTCAAACCAATAAATAATGTTTAAAAATATTATATTTGGGTCAATGCACCAAAACTATTAATAGTTTGGCATGCTCAACCAAGTTTGACCGCAATTAAATTATTAAATCATTAATTTAATACTCGTATACAGATTACCTCTAGCTTCATATTACATTAAAAAAATAAAACTGAATAATGGTTTTCACTTGCATATAAACTTGCATCGTCATATTTTCGAACAATTTACGAAGATTTGAGATAATTGTGAATCACATTATTGCTGCCACTGACGTAGATTAACAACGACCACACAGTATGGAAAAGGAAGTTGCAAGAAATGAGTACTTTTTTTTTTTTTTGCAGCAATTCGATATAGAACTTTTTGAACTTGTACGTGGTACATAAGGACGAAAAATATTCTGGGAAATTTATAGATAATGCATGCATGCAACATGCTTGGTTGTGACTAAAGGAATCTTGGTGTGGTGCAAATGCAAGTGATGTTCACGTCCAAAACTGTGTCTTTCTCTTTTACCCTTCTCTGTTTCTCTATTCTAACATGGCGCCACGTTTTTCTTTCGACAGCAACTTCATCCAAACCTAAAATTTAAACCCTGAAATGCTCAAAGCATATATCTATCTATACACATATCATGTTCGTTCATGTGACCGTACGTAACGTGCATGCTCATGTACTTGTACTAATTAACATGGTTAACATCAGAAAGAAAGAACAACATAAGTTTCACATCGACCAGAAATTAAGTCTGAAAATAATATATAATTAAGAAACAGTTGCCATCTCTTGAGTAAATTATGTTGTATTTAAAATATATTAGTATGTCAACTTTATTTTTTTATATAAACAAACAGAGTGGACATATATATACAGGTGTGAAAGAGAGGAAAGATATGGAACAGAAAAAAGAAGAAAGAATATTGACTTTTTTAGGGTACGAAAAAGATTGTTAGAAAAATGCAGTGACACAAAATTATGATTTTGAGAGGTGAAGTACAAACTGTACACATTGGTATTTTATTAGGAAAGAAAATAAAAGTAAATATAAGATATACATTCTTCTGTAGAGAGGAAAATAAATAGAAAATGAAAGAGGCATGTTTATTAAGTGGTATAATATATACCCTTTTGCCTTGGGCATTGCTTTTTAAGATACGAGACAAAGAGAATTGAATAGCTTAGCCTCTCGCGAAGTATCCAAAACCCTCCAAAAAGCACAATCGAAAAGGAAAATTCTCTTATGTTGCTCTCTTTTTTTCGCGTGGGGGAATAAAATATATGGAAGAGTATATATATTTATACACATACTCATAATTGGTGATGAACTTTTGCAATTTAATTATAATATTATTCCACAGCTATAACAAAAATAAATATTCGGAGATTTTAACAAGATTGCCTCACTATGATTCCCACCACCATTATCATTTGCTTTCATTGCATCCACAACCATGCAATTGCAATGTTTTAACACATCCTCTACTTACTTCCAAAATCATCTAAGGTTAGAATTTAAGAATAAGCTACATCTCGTATTAAATAAAAATAAAAAAATTAATTAATATATAATTGAGTAAAACTTATAAATCTAATTTATTAAGATTTTAAGTTAAATATTCTTTTATGATCACCTAATAATCTTAAATTAAATATGATATCGTAATTTTTTTTATGTTGTTGTTGTTGTTATGAACGCGGATTCACACAAGATGATGATGAAGAAGATGATGCAGGAGAGAAATTCTGATATTGATGGCGTGAACATGGTATGCTATATATGCCAACTGATAAGATAGGATTTGATTGCAAACTCTGCGACCAATTGAAATGCTTCCAGAATATAGTTCATAACAATTTTTTTTTTTAAATTGGACAGGTCCTGAACCTATCAACACATTAAATTTAATATCGTGTTCAATCAAAATTTAATTAGATCTAATAAAATAATATTTTTATAATATAATAAATATATAAATTTATTAATGATAATATTTTTAAAAATAAAAATTATTGTTATAATATTTTTTTATCAAACCCGACTTAAAAATTGTATCAATTTTTTAAATTTTATTAATTTATCCTAATTTAATTAAAATTGGTTATTTAAAAACAATGCATCAGTTTTTAATTTGATTCCCTGAACGGTCCTATTCGATTTTTAACATCAAATGTAATACGATGTAATATTGTATTAGAGGATTACATCTTATGACCTTTTTCTTTTCTTGTAGTGCTACAACGTTTTATTCCATGTTTTTCTTCAAACAAACCTGTTTATTTCATTTTATTCCCTTATAACCACAAACCATCTGTATTTTTATTTATAGAGGACACAAGTGTAAATTAAAAGAATAATCATAAATTTACAATTTACCTAATCACTTAAATAAAATAAAACGAAATTCGCAACTTAAATTACAAAATCACTATTCAATAGTGTTTTTTCTTTTTCTAGTTAAATCTAGATGATATTTAATATTTGTTTTATGTTGGAAATATTGTTTTTTTTTAAATTAAGTATTAAGAAATTTTTATTACTATTTAAAATAAAAAATATATTGTTTTGATTTAAATAATTATAATTAAAATATTATTAATATTTAATCTTTATTATATTTTTTATAAATATATATATATATATATATATATAAATATAAGCTGCATATATATTTTATATAAAAAAATACATGCATAAAATCATAAAAATTTTCATGTATTTGGTTAAATTTATTATTGAAATTGATAAATTAGTGTGCTTTGAGTATAGTTGAATTTGTGTAGTTTTTCTATCAAAATTAAACTAAATAAATAAGAGATTGGTTCGACTTGAGTCTCTGTCGTATGATTTCTCTATTTTATTATTTCTAACTTGTGTAATTGTTAGTTTATGAAAATTTAATTTAATTTATTTTTTATTATATTTGTCTCATAAAAATTTATGGAGAAAAATTATGCTTTAAACACTTTCTCTTCGGGCCCTTTTTATTTTCAAATTGAAAGACAACAAATTTTGATATAGTACCCACGAAATTTCCTTTTTTATGAAACATACCTTTTCCAAATTTTGATTTATTTATTTTTCTATACAACTAAACACAGTGCAATGAGACTTTAGCCATAAGTTACTCCAACAATTTTGAAGTTACTAATATAATTTTTTTTAAATAACACTGTAATTAATAATTAAATAAACCAAATTTCTACAACTTATTTAAAGACTTCAATTAAACACCAAATATATTTTACATTTCATGTACAAATAAGCTTGGTAACTTTTGTAAAATAATTATATTAAAATTATTTTAAAGATAGATTTTTTATTGATTGATGGTACAGGGCCACGAATCATAGCACCAATTCTTCCTTAGGTGTCAAATAGCAAAAGTCATATGCATTGATAGTTAGAGATTAAAAAACGGAGTAATTTATTTAATTTAAATATTATTATATTTTTATTTTGATTAATTTTGTTTTATATTTTACTAATTTTTTCTTTTTTTTAATCTCATGTGACATTGATGAGAAAAAATATATATGAAAAAGTGGATGAGAATGAATAATGGAAAGAGTAAAAGTTAAGTTCTATAAAATAAAAAATATCATATAATTTTTGTTTTAAGTATTTAAGTTTTTTAATATATTTTACAAATTTTAATAATTAATAACTATTGAGACTTATAATTTATAAAACATCAATAATGTGACATTAAAAAGATTTACTTTACTTTTTATATTTTTTTTATGCTTAGCATTTTATTTTCCTTTTAATGAAATAAGATTTTATTTGATGAAGAAAATAAAAGCATTCTCAAAGAGTTTAGAATCAATGAAAATTTTATTGTAATAAATTTGGTTTGAATTGTAGTAAGTATTAACTCTTATAGAATAGGTTTGTTTGGAGACTAAGACAGGGAAAACAAACATTCTTAACTTACCTTCTTCTTCGTTTAGAAAGCGTCAAGTGTCACATTTGTATTTTGAAATAAAAGAAATTAATTTGAGAACTTTTGAAAAGAGTGTGATTTTTTTACAAAATTTTGTGAGTATTCTTATTTTATCAAGGAGTCCAATTGAGTCACACTCCACTCACTATTTTATAGAGGAACTCAAGTGCCACATTGAGTGGAATCAAATATCAATTTATTATTATATTCAAATTTATAATTTAATCTTGATTTTGACATTTTCTTCTGTTTCTAGGCTTTATTCATTTTTTTTAATAATTAATTTTTTATTTGTTAAATCCATGATTTGACAGTTTCATCATTGTTTGTTTATGTTTCATAAAATTATTTTCTAATTTTAAAAATAAAATTGTTTAACAAGTATAATTACTAGAAATTCTCATATTTCATGAGAATATTTTTGTAGTTTTTTTTATAAAAATTATAACAAATAGATTTTCTATAAATTTAAATAATTTTTTACAAGAAAATTTTTAGAAAATAACTACATTTTTAGTAGTATAAGGAGGTGTTTGATTTAATTTTATTTTTAAAATTTTTAAAAATAATTTTAGATATTAATTTTAAAAAATGTTTTAAAAACAAGTTAAAAAATTATTTTATAACTATTTTAGAAGAAAAATACACAAATGACTTCGAAAAGTTGTAAAAAATTAATGATTTTAATAATTTTATCATAATGAAAATTAATAATTAAATGTATTATTGATAAAATGAAAAATAGAACATACAGTTAATGTTTTAAGAATTTTATTAGATGGTCTTTAAATATTAATAATATTATTTAGAGTTATTTTAGTTTCTCAGCATTAGATGCTGACAGTTATTTTTTTAGTTTCTTTTTAAGTAGTGTAACTATTAGCTTTGTATTATGTAGATAGTACATTACTTCTATATATGTTGGATAAGATAATAAAAATATAAGTAGAACTAAAATGGGAGAGATTTTTTTAATAATTGACTTAGAAAATATCAAATAACTTATAATCGATGGTATGCACTAAAAATAAAAAACCAAAAAAATTAAAAAGACACCAAATTAAAATAAAAATATATAAAGTATGTCGGCAAAACTTTTTCCAAAATAATAATTAATGACTATAATATAACTTTCTTTTCACCAAGGTCAATAGAAATCTTAATAGGTATATTTAACAGGACAACAAAGAATTAGAACACAGAATAATAAAGAATAAAAAAAACTTTTCACCAAACTAACTTTTTATTTTTTGCATAGAATTACTCTAAACATTACGTTTTTTTTCTCTTGGTAACTTTCTTCTATTTCTCACCGTAAAGACATTATTCTATATTTTTTATAGACGATAAGAAAAAATATTCTTTAACTTAATTAATAAGACCAATAAATTTGTAACCCACCTAACATTTTTTTCTCACCAATAATAAATTTTTCAATAAATAAGATTTTTCTCATCCTATCTGAGTTATGAGTTATTTTAACTGTATGAATCTTTCTAATGATAATTATTTAATTTTCAACTTATCCAATGTTATCAAATATATTTTGATTTTGAATGAAAGGTGTAGAATTCTTATGTAGATAGATTATAATTTGATTATTCCATTATAAAACATATCTTTCTTAAAAGAATGATAATTCTTATAAGAATTTTTACATTCATAAAATTTCCTTTACAATTTCTATAACAATAATATATTTCGTCATTATACAAGATAAAATAATACATTTTTTTTATTTAAGTGTAATCTAATTGTTTATTAGAAAATATTAAGAAAACTATTTTTCATATGTTTTTAATATCTCTTCCCTTCCAAAAAAAATTATTGAAATTATTAGAGTTTAAATTGTATCATTTAGGAATGTTTTTAACATTTTAAATATTATAAATTATTTTTAAACTCAAAAGGTCTATATATATATATATATATATATATATATATATATATATATATATATATATATATATATTAAAAGTGAAATAACAATAGTTAATTAATTATAAAACTTAAAATAAATAATTTTGTAATTGAAAAAATAAAAGGAAAAGTAGTTTACATTAAATTAAGATTTAAATATTAAAATTTATAAAAAGTTTAGAAGGGCCATCTTGTATAGATTATAATTCTTACGCCCTGTAAAGGCTTAAAGTATTTAGCGAAAAATTGTTGGAGAAGATTGGTATTTGATGTCATATGCCGCAATCCCATGAAAAGGCATAAATGCGTTGATACGATAAATCCACGATAGATAAGGTCAAAATACCACTAGTGATAACTCATATATATATATCAAACTTTAAAAAATAAAATATATGAAACCTAGTTTTCTTGGTATTGGTGTATCGACCTCTTTTGCTAAAGATATTAAACCCTAAACATAATTATTTATTATGAAAAATGGTTCTGGTGTTTAGACACATGAATGAAATTAGGGCATGTCTTCTCACGTTTGGAATGTGGAGGAAGAACAATTTTAGAATTCATTGGACATCAAATCTTGATCACTTCATCATAATGGTATGGGATGCGACTATTCGTAGCTCTACCTCCATGCTATTCCCATCCATAGTTGACATTCCTTGAAGCACCTCAAAGGACATTTTCGTCCACCGCCACAATCTAATTCTCATCGTATCCATCTTTCGGCACCGTTTGGCTCATCTTTATGCCCTAATCGATTCTCTCTCCATTCTCACGCCACTAACCCTATATGCTACTAGCAACTAACACACCACAAAAGTCCCTATCAAATCAATGGTATTTCCAGGCATATTTCCTTCCCTCTTTAATTCCGATACCAAACAATGCGCAAGAACCCTAATGTGCATACCCCTTTTTCATCTCCTTTCCCTCTCTCCACCGTATATAAATACTCAACCCTTCAACCCTAACTGACATCACAAACTATAAAACCAACCCTTCTTCCTCCCCTACTTCTTTTCTCCCACCTATTTCCCATCAAACCCTAAACACTAACACATACATTATCTACTGTCAATAGATGGATCGTGTAGCGAAATTGGCATCACAAAAGGCAGTGGTGATCTTCAGCAAGAGTTCATGTGGGATGTGCCACGCAATAAAGCGACTGTTCTACGAGCTTGGGGTGGCTCCTGCAATATACGAGGTGGACGAGGTTTCAAGAGGGAAGGAAATAGAGTGGTGTCTGATGAAACTAGGGTGCAACCCTTCTGTGCCTGCAGTGTTCATTGGAGGCCAGTTTGTGGGTGCTGCTAACACAGTGATGACCCTTCACCTCAATGGCTCGCTAAAGAAAATGCTGAGAGATGCTGGAGCATTGTGGCTTTAGAAAAAGTAACGTCATTTCATATCGTATCATATAATATACCTCTCACATGCATGCACGTAATGCAAACAACAGCGAAAGCACGCGTTATCGGAACCTGATTTAGATGCATGTATTATAATATACCATACCATGGTATCTTTTGGGGTGGCAAAGATATTTGCATGTCCTTCTTTTATTATCTTTCAGAAAAAAGATAAAGGTGTTAAGTACTAAAGATTGTTCTTAAATATATCTTTAAAATATCACTTCTTCTTTCCCATACACTGCTGCTTTTGGAATATTCGTATAATTACCGGACAATTCTTAAACTCAGTATTTTAATGATGAGAAATTTTAACTACTATTTATGTCAAGAGTTTGCTTTTGATATATTATTAAGCAAAAAAAAATATGAAAAAGTTTTTTTATTAGTTTAAAAGGTAATTTATAATTGTAATTTGAAAATAACTACATAAAGTACAGATGCTTTATAATCTATAACTAAGAATGATCAATGTAACTTTTTTTTTATGCATACTATCATTAAAATTTAATTAACTCTAAATTACTAAATAAAATAAAAAATGTAATGTTATATATGTATCCCAAACATTCAAATTTGTGACCTATAGTTTACTTTGTTTTATTAGGTTGATTGGAGGGAATTTATTAATACAAAAATTTAAAAACTTATAAATGCTTTCTAAAAAAAAAAATTGTAGAACGTAACATTCTAGGGTTGTGTCAAAAAAATATTAAACGTGTGAAAAATATGTAGCAGATGTAGCAAATGTGCGAAAAATAGAAAAGATAATAGGCATGATGAACAAACTAGGACAAGTGGCATGATTAAGCCTCTCTTTCATTGTTGCGAGTAAGGAAATTGAGAGAGTTATTTATATCACAAATTCTCATTTTATTTTCTCTTCCTTTTAGTCAAAATATAATCATTTAACAAGTTTGAATGTTGATTCAAATATAAGAAGTAATTAAAGGTGTTATTTATCTAAAAAAGAAGGGATGTTTAGGATGAAATTTGAGTGTGTTTCTTCTCAGAATTTTTAGTACCACTCCTTGCAGACGAAGAACAAAGAGAGATACTCAAAGAATAACCTATCATTTGACAAGATTAAAAAGTTTGGTAAGTTTTCATAACTCCCTCCTGTTCAACTAAAACATTTTCTTGACAGTGCAATCATCCAAGAACAGAGAGGAATCTAAGGGTGCCAATATTCTTGAGGAAGATCAAGAACATGTATCCGACATTGGAATGCAAGTCAGGAGTTCAAGTAAACAAAAGTGAAATCGAAAAAAACCCTTAGACGAGAAGGATCATCTTCTCAATCGTATAATACTCACACATTTATGATTAAATATTAATTTGTGGTTTAATAATTTTGTGGGTTGATATTAAACTTGTTTGTTTGCGTAAGAAATACATTAATTACCTACGAGGGAATGTAGTGAAGTTAGAACTCAACTATGTCATCCATTCAAATTAAACGCATTTTATTATGCAGCCAATTGTTTGACAAAATTTAAAAAATTTAAAAAATTTTACTCTTCTAATTTCATATCTTTTATATGCAATTGTATTTTATATTGGTTACTCTCATTATTTAATTTTCGTAATCTATAATTTATTTAAATTGTTTAATTATAATATAAGTTTACGTATATATAATTTTTACTTATTATTTTATTACTTGTAAAACGTGAAACTCTTGGTAAAATTTACTATCAAACAAGAGTCATTAATGTATAAAAGTTATATAAATTTAGAAACATGTTTTAAATAGAAAAACAGATGTACAATAAGTTAAGAGAGTTTAAAATAACTTTTACTATTCAAGAAAAATGATATTAAGTATGATATAAAAATATTATAAATTAGAAAGTTAAAGAAAAAAATGTTGAAATTTTGGATAATATGCGATTACAAAAATTCATAAATGCTTTAATAAAACATAGCTAATTTTCGAAAGTTTGAAAGAAAGAAAAAACTAGAATTAGGTACACTTAGTAAAAAAATACTTATAATAAAATAGCAAAGTATACATAAAAATATTTGAAGAAAAAAAAAAGTATGGAAACTGAAGGGTAAAAGACATTGAAGGCATACATATATTCAAATAAAAAAGTCGCGAGAAAAAAAAAACAGTTCAATTTTTTTAACCAAAATATGTTTTTATTAATCCTCAAGTTTATTGTAAGTTTGTTTTTATTTCTATAAATATAAAAATAATTTTTTAAGTTCTATAATTTTGAAGAAGAAAAAAGTTCGTTTATCTTCAATGTTGATGTTTATAATTATACAAATAGTTGTTAATATTCCACGTAAATAAATAACTAACATTATTATCATTAAATAGGTCAACATTTTTATTGGAAATTGAAAAACATATAGTGGAGTATGCCTGTTTAATTTTAGAATATTAATATAGATATATTTTAATAATATTAATAAATTAATGATATATAATACAACTAATAATCATTCATAAATATAATAATATTTAAACTAAAACAGAAAATAATGTACAATTCAAATGGCTAAGAAAAGAAAAAGTAGTAATCATATTATTTCTCACGCAAACTATGGGGAAATATAATGATAAATTGCCAACTTCTTCCACCATACTTCCACTTCCGATTATGTATTAGCAATAAATTACAGTTAAATTAAATTTAAATTATGTAATGATTCATCTTAAATCCTCGTTCACTTTCAAATTATAAATCTAAAGCTTCTATATATGCACACGCGGTTGATCTATATATATCATCATTAAATTGCATTCTATACTTCGTTTGCTTTTACCTTGTTTTAGAAAAGCATTTCAGTTTCTTGGTCTCGATCTTTCCCTTCTCTTGAATGCGCGTTAAAGATCTTCTTGAGAGTGAGAAAAAACACAGGGCAGTGAGTAGTTCTTGGTAATGAGATATTGTTGAAGGTGAAGGTGTGAGTGGCTTTGTTACGATAGAGTGTAGCTTTTTGTGATTGGTTTTCTTGCATTTTGAAATGGGTGGTTGTCTCTGTTGTGAAACAAAGCGATCAGGCAACTTGGGGCAATCTGGGAGCACCCCACTTACCACAGGTCACAACAAATTTCCTATCTTTCTTCCATAAACTGCGTTTTTTCTTTATTTCCAGCCTCGTTCGATTTCAGGGTTGCCTTCGATATTTCCCCTTTTAACCATGCTTTTCTTGGTAACTCTTGGTTTCTTTCATCATGTTCATCTGATATATATTGCTTCCTGTGCTTTTCTTTTGATGAATTTAGTGCTTAGTATTCTTGACGTTCGATCTTGAGGTACAAGAAACAAGAATAACACAATGCATGTTTGCCTTAAGTAGACATTGTGGTGCAATGCAATTTGCAATATAAAAGTTTTCTTTTTAAAAGATGATTGCTAATGCATTTTACACCTTCTGGCTGCATAATTATTTGCAGCATCAACGTATAATGGCACCCCTTGTCTGCATAATTTCTTCTGCAATTATACTTTTCTGTTTCTTTCGCGCCTACTTATAGTACTTTATTATTTATTCAAAATGGAAAAACAGGAACAAAATCAGAGAGTAAATCTGCAAAAGCATTTGCATTCGCAGAGATTGCAAGTGCTACAAAGAATTTTAGGCGACAACTTCTGTTGGGTAGAGTGGGTTATGGGCGAATGTACAAAGGTCAACTGAGTAATGGCCAAGTAAGTTGTGATTGCCAGTACTAATTAAAATTTTGGATTAATCAGTTTGAATTTGGAAGACTATGAATATATACTGTGTTAGCTCCAATCTCTCATCCATCCATGTATTATTGCAGGATGTTGTGGTGAAACTGCTTCAGGAAAATAGCATACAAAGAGACCAAGAATTTTTGGATGAGGTTGAGATGCTGTCTTTCTTAAGTCACCCAAATATTGTGAGCATAATTGGTTACTGTTGTGAACGTGATCAGCGGCTACTTGTTTACGAGTATATGCCATTGGGGTCTTTGGATCATCTCTTACACGGTCAGATATAAATATAATTTATGCATATGCTTTTTATTTCTCCATATAATTATTGATGATTGTGTGTGTGTGAAGATCTTCCTCTTGAAAGGGAACCCCTTGACTGGAAGACAAGGATGGAGATAGCAACTGGTATGGCAAAGGCATTGGAGTATTTGCATGATTGGGCAGACCAACCTGTGATATGTGGAAACTTAAAATCATCGAAGGTCCTCTTGGACGAGCATTATAATCCCAAGTTGTCAGGTGTTAGGTTGTTTGGTCCCCTTGGTGATTACGTTCACGGGTTAAGGCGAGGGGTGGGAAAATCTTGTGCGAGTGCCCCAGAATTTATAACCACTGGTTACCTAACTACGAAATGTGATGTGTACAGTTTTGGAGTGGTCCTCCTCGAACTCATTACGGGGCGCAAGGTTGTTGATTATGAAATGCGTCATCTTGTTAAGTGGGTGAGTTGTTAAGCTTAAGATCTCATCTCATGTTGAAATATTTGATAAGTTTTATTGTTCGTGTTTTGGTAGGCGCGACCTCTTTTTGCGGACCGTAATCAGTTCGATAGATTGGCCGACCCTCTACTTAAGGGGCGTTTTCCAAAGGGAGGGCTATATGAAGCAGTTGCCGTTGCAGCAATGTGTTTGCATGAAGAACCTGATAGAAGGCCCGCGATGAGGGAAGTCGTTACTGCTCTCCAATACCTGGCCTCACGCCCAAATGATTATACCAGACCTCGTCCACCCCCATCATCATCATCATCATCCCCATACCCAACTGCTGTGGATATAACCTGCCGTTGAGAATTTCACACGAAACACACCATTTCATTTTGCTGCTTCTTTCACACCACAAATTCTTCTGTTATAGTCATGTGTAGAAAAACAACTTGTCTAGTTCGATGGATATATCATGTGAACTACATACAAAAACAAAGGAGTTGGCTCTTCACTTCATGAACCTTTGTAACCACGTGAATGGGGTTTGTCTGACTCTTATTTTCCTTTCCAAGCCTT